ACATACATACAGACATACATACATACATACAGACATACATACATACATACAGACATACATACATACATACAGACAGACATACATACATACATACAGACAGACAGACATACATACATACATACATACAGACAGACATACATACATACAGACAGACATACATACATACATACATACATGCTTGCATGCATACATACATACATACACAGACAGACAGACATACTTACATACATACATACATACTTACATACATACATACATACATACATACAGACACACCCATATTTGGATGTCCATTGTTTCTGACGTATGTAGCAACTTGCCTGACGGTGGCCCATGGTTCAGGTAGGAAGTGTCTTCAACGATCCCTTGGTGCATCGAATGGCCAATACCTGCATCAAGGACTCTGCACAGCTGGTCTTGTAGGTAACGTATGGGATTTTGGGGTAGCCTAGTTTCAGTCGAAGCCATGCGTACTGAATGGGAATGGGACATTCTCTAGGGATCATGGAGGTATAATCAACAAACATGCAGATGTAAATATGAGAAGTTCTTGGCTGCTGGAAATGAAAAGCACAGGTACTGGTATGTAGGAGTCAACATTTCTGACCCAGGGACCTGCAAATCAACTTTGTTATTTCTTTCATATGGGGCGTTGGTTTTTGGACAACCGTGCCTGTATCCCTTCAGCTGGCAAACGGTCAGTTTAATATTACGCCCTTGACAGATGCCTGTTGTTTGGTGGGACGGTGCATCAAGCTGTTGTTGCTATGCTTAGGGCTTAAAGGTGAGGGCTCCAAACACTGGTCTTTGTCACTGCTCGTGCGTTGCAGAGATTCTCCGATTCACATTTTATATCATTTTATGGATGAAGGGTTCAGTGGATCGTGACAGGACCTGCCAGAAGGCTATCCAGTCATCAAATACCTCTACCCAGAGTACCTTGCCGCAGTGCTGTTGGAATCCCATGGGTGAGTCCATTGCTTGCGGCCTGGCGGTTTGCACTTCTCCCCAAACTACATCAAACTACCGGGCTCCAAAGCACTGTTTGGAAAGGGCTGTTTTGACAGCTACCAATGACTTCTAGATACTTCAAAACCTTAAGGTCTTTTTGGGTGATCTTCATATGGATTTCTCTGAAAATGATGTGGATAGCCCTAAACGAGCTGAGTAGTGTCATTATTTTCCCAATGTCGAAACGGCCATTTGGAGGATATACCCAATTTTCAGACGCACAAAAATAGTTTGGACTATTTTTGGAGCCCCCGTCATTTCCGAAAACTCCAATGCGTCATCTAAGGTATCAGTTGTCCAATGCCGTCAATGACGATGGGACTTACACGGACGGCGGCTGGTACATTTGCGAAGAGGAAGAGAAGGCTGCTGGGGTGGGACAAGAGCCGATGTTTGATGGCCGATTGCCTGAAACAAATCACCGGATGACACGGGTAGAACTCCTTATTCCTAGTGGAAACATCATTTGCTGGGAAAAATCAATACTCCTGGTATAAGTAGGTGCCATTTGAATTTTCAAACTTCGCCGGTGCTCTCCACCGGAGTGGATGTGTCCAGGGCATTGGGACAAGGATTGCTTTTGAGGATTGTATACAGTGTTTACATTGCATGATATTACATGTATGCAGAGGCCGCCTGTCAACAGATCGTAAGAGATCCTGATTTGTCCGAACTCAGGATTTTGGTGCAAAAGAAAGTACACGGCATTTGTTCAGCTTTGTGATAGTTTGCAAATAATATGTATATATATATATGTATATATATATTATATGTATGATGACATGTGTCATACTGTAAAGATCTATAAACTTGTGTATATGGATAAATACCATGGTATGATAATCATGAAACCATGATATCATAGTATTTACCCTCTGGTAAATTAACATAGACCCTGAAAATCCCCAATTTTTAGTGGAAACTAATCTTCCAACCCCTATCTGGCAGGGTCTATGTTAATTTACTGGAGGGTAATATCAAGCAATATTTCATCAATTCTATTCGTACCATGGCCTGATACCCAGGCTGGGCTGCTGAGCGACTACCGCGTGCGACACAACGAGGTGAGATTCCAATGGATGTTGATTCAAGTGGTTACCGGATAACAGGCTGGGCAGAAAAACATGGTGATAAATATTCAGTGAATATAGTGCGTTCATGAAAGGCGGTATGTATAGTATACTATAGATGGCTAGATGGCCTTCAAATATGGTGATATCTATATAATTTAATGTATTATTATATAATGTCTCATCAGGCCAGGCCTTGTATGCTACAAAGATGGATGAATTTTTCCCAGGAAATCGCACGTGAGACAAGCACTAACATTGGGATCACCCTTCCACTCACGATGCTTCGGTGTGTGTGTGTGCGAGTTATCGGGCAGAAAATATCCTGTGGTAAGCAAACATAGTTGGGTGTGTCTGGAAATAGGGTATCCCCAAATTTGGTTGGCGTCTTATCGCTTTATCATCATGTCCCCTATTAAAATGGTCATTTGGGGGTTTAGCCCATTTTCAGACACACCCAGTTGTGAGAGAACATTGTTTATAGATGAAATTCCGGTGAAAAAGATGGGATTTCCCATTGCCATGTTTGTGGGAAGCGTGCCCAAATCTAGGGCATCGATGGGGGGCCCCAATTTCCCATGATTTTCCATGTGTGCCATGGTCAAAACATGGCTTTCCCAGAAACGGGATGGTCAATCCATTCATGGGGATTGACTAATTCATGAGGATTAGGAACCCAAATGTTTATTAGTGGTTATTAATGGTTAATAATGGTATGGGAATATCATTGGAATATGATGGGAATATTAATATTACCCTCTGGTAAACGTTTACATAACTATGGAAAGATCCACCATGTTCAATGGGTAAATCCACTATTTCGACTGGGCCATGGCTTCAATAGCTATGTAAACGTTTACCAGAGGGTAATGGGGACTTAGAAACACCCATTCAAAGGAATCCCCAATTTCATGGCAGGATGACCATAAACCACGGTAACCATCTCTCAAACGACCATGGCACATGTGGATCAGTGGCAATGGAGAATCCCTTGCCACTACTGGAGGGCCAGCTTTGGAAAACACCATCCATTTTATCATATCCATTAATTATCAAGGATAGGATAGGCTATACCTGACCTGCACCGTGGTTGATCGTTTTTTCCTTGTTTGTGTTACTGTGCATGTTCTTGTACGCTGTTGAATACGCTGACATGTATCAAGTATTCGTCAATGGTTGGTTGGTGACTGCATCCGATGAAATGATGATGCTCAAGTGGCTAAATGTATCTAAATGTGCAAAACCATTCCTGATTTTTTGAATTCCATTAAATGATGCTCAAGTGCTAATTTTTATTCCTAAAACTGGATGAGTGGAAGTTCTTCAGCCCACACAACTTTCAATTTTCGTAAAAACCCAGGCTTTCCACCAGCATTTTGACCCAAAAAGCACGCCTGTAGGCCGCCTATCCCCAGCAGCATCAACGAGCGAAGGTGGCCCGGGCTCCCACCTGGAAAGGGGATGTTGTGGTCGTTGGAGAGTCTTAGGTTTTAGTATATATATATATGTATATATATATATATGTGTATATATATATACATATATGTATATCTATACATACTATAACATATTATATGTATGTAGAAACAAATGTGCCAACAAACACATCAGTTCTTGACTTCAAAGGTCTTCATCTTCGAAAATGGTGAGTTTTTCCATTTCAGTAGTTATTTGGGGCACTGCCATTAGGCCATGTTCAAATAGACCCTTTTTTGGGACAGTTGCACGTACAGTTAGTGATCAAAGATCTTTTTTCATTTGCTGAGATGTGGACAGATGATCAATCAGTGATGGTTGTTGGGACCCGATGGCAAATAGATATACTATATATATATACACTATGTATATATATATAATTAGTGAGGCACCAAGAGTGCAAAAAATCGTGGGACATTCCACTTGGAGGGTTTACGTATTCAATTTTCCCGGAGTCTAAATGACTCCAGCAAATCGATTTTGTGAAATCACCCAGAGACCCAAAGATTTGAATTAGTAAAACCCGTCTTAGACGGGAAGTGTCAGGCCCTTCTCAATCCACTGCATGGCAATTTCTGACTTCAGTGGCGCGTTTCACGACTGGGGTACATGAAAACTTGGTACCGCAAACCTCTAAATTTTAAAACTGTACATGGCCAACATTGGTGCGTTTTGCCATTGTTTTGGGGCCCGTGATTTTGAGCCTTGGCCAGTTCTTGGAGATTCTCATCTTCGCTCTGCCGGCCTTCTGCATTTTTCTAGGCGGACGCTGGCAGGGGACACTGGATCGGGGGGCAAAGGACTGGCATAGCTGAATGATGCTGAATGCTCATCCCTCCAAGTACGGTATCATAGATAATTGGGTTTTGACGTCTTTGGACCCACGTATATAGATATACTGTATATAATATTATAATATATATATATATATTATATATATATATATACAGGTCAACCCCAAATGGATGCTTTTACGAAAATGTACCATGACCAAAGTCTGTGTTTTGGGGCCTGCAACAGTGAACCCTGCCCAAATATCATATGTTCGCTCTCTATTACCCGAATGATTACTGTAGTTCTTTTCCTGTGATAAGAAAGACCCGCCGGAAAAGCTGGTGGGTCTCACATCTCTGCATTTTTGAAGTCCGAAATAGGGGGGTTACTCCAAATCGACTGAAGGTGCTTGGCACAGCCATTGTCGAGAAGAACCAAACGCAAAGGACACCGGAGATGGATGGTACTTGCAGACGATTGAAGAAAGATGATATCTCAGGGGGTTAGCCGTATTTGTAATATACTATTCTATAGTCATTATAGTAGATATATATATATAGATATCTGTAACACACACACATATATATGTATATATACAGTATATATATATACACAGTGTATATATATATACAGTATATATACATATACAGTATATATATAATATGTATGCATATGAGTATTTATGAATATCATATCAGTATATGTATACGTATATCTATATATAGGTTCAGAAACAGCGGCTCCGAAGTTCTTCAAATACTTCTGGACCTGATGGGCCGAGCCCGTAAACCCATGGATTCCCGGTGATCCGTCCATCGCTGGTTGTCACGTATTTCTTCCAGCAAAAAAGGCTACTCAAGATGGGTACATACTCCTTAAGAATTAGATGGGTGAATAGACTTGAACATACAATATCAAAACATTCAGGAGTGACAATATAGATATTGGATGAAGTGAAATAGATATGGATCATACAATATCATCTCATATCCAAAAATGCGTAACATGACAGGAGTGCCACCTGGAACGCCTGCGATTCCTGCGATTGGATCTGTAACTCGGAGCTTCCCTGGGCATTGGCCCAGGTGCCGACACGCTGAAGGCGAAGTCAGTTTTTTTGAGGAACAAGTGGCATTTTTATGTCATGTATGAATCATTATGTAATGGTGCAAATCAGATGAAACTAGGGTAACTAGGTAAGACTACATGATACATTTTTATGTCCGTGCAGTCGTCGATGTTGACCATCTCCTTGCCTTCGGCTCGTCGATTGCACGTGACATTTTGCACGTTTTGCGACTCCGAGAAAAGGGCCCGTCAGGTGCTGTCAGGTGGTGGGGTGCGCACTGCGCTGGATGACGATGGGAACATCATCGAACTAGCCATGGTGGACATTCCATGGCCACGACTGCGGAGGGTATCCGTTTCCGACCAAACTTTTTTTTGCCTCCAAAAATGGTGCCCTGCCAGATGATGACTTCCACACTTGGAAAAAACCATGGTTTGTTTCCAGAAGATACTCGTAACATCGTGCGCGTTTGGGAATGGCAAATGTCTCATCTAATCTCCATAGGTATAGATTATATAGGGATTTTTAATGGGTGAATCAACTATGTAGGAGATTCAACCTATGGATACTAACATTAGATTTACTAGTCTAATCCATAACAATGACTCTTCCAACCATCCAGATTTGTTTCCCAGACCAGAGGCTATTGTCAACCCGCCATGAAGAGATTTCGGTGGATTGAGCGTATTAAAAATAGTCGGCTATCAAAATCACACTCACACATAAACAATGCAATGTACAACATATAAACCACACAATAATAAGAGTCATAGAACAATCATATAATAATCATATAATAATAAATATATAATAGAATCTATACCAATTACATAACATAATATAACAATTATTAAAAACATATGACACTTATATAACAAGTATCTAACAATTGTACACCAATTATACACAATTATAGAACATTATAGAACAATTATCATAACAATAATATGTGTATATGTGTATATATATATATGAGCAGGGACCCCCACACCCCCCCCCCCCAGCCAGATGGTTCCCCCCCCTCTGTGGCAGCGGAGGGGGGGTTTTCTCAGCAGCCAAGCCATGGTGTATGTAGTCTTTATAGTGCATATAGTGCATATGTATCGATAATTAGAATGGATATACTATATGTAATATAGAGTGTATGTGTGGTGTATATATATATATAAACATATATATAAAATATGTAACATATAAATACAATATATGCAATATATATAATATACATATATATATATATAAATTTGACATATATATATTTTTTATATATTGAACATATATATATATATTTATATATATTGAACATATATATATATATATCGTATATATATATCGTATATATATATATCGTATATGTGGATTTTGATAGAATATATATAGATAGTATATGCCACATGTACTGTATCCACAGTAGATGTAATATATACACTATAGGTAAATATGTTCGTTGAATAAATTTTACATAGTAATTATATGTGGTATATTGAATATCGACAGCAATACACGCTGTATATCTAGAGTTTATGTATATATATATATTTATGTATATATATATATATACGTGTACAGTATGTACAATGTAAACGAAATGTGTGATAGATACAAGATCAAGATATCAATCTGTAGTATCTAGAATGTGCATATATATATATATATTTATTGTTTTTCTACTGTACATATGTCTAGGTTTGCATAGGTAAGCTTTGCGTAATCCATAGGTAGCAAATATGTTGTAAACCATGTGCGAGGCACGCTATAGGCGGTTCGAAAAAAAGGTTATGATAGAAATATACAGGTAGACAAGGTCCGTTGACGAGGTCGTGGCTCTCAAGTGCTGCAAATAACGTAGAGATGCGAGGTTGGAGGGGTGGAAAGGGGAGTATATATGTGTATATGTGTATGTATATGTGCAAATAACATGCAAATACTAGGTTTTGGGGGGGTGGGGGGGGTTAGGAGTGGGGGGGGGGATACCATTGGGGGGGGGGTGTGGGGGTCCGGGGACCGGGCTCATATATATATATATGTACTAGTAACAATTATAGAACAATTATACACCAACAAATTAACCAATTATAGAAAATTCCATAACACTTATCC